ACAACATTTTTGAGTTATTGTCCGAAAACTGGAAAATCCCCCCTTTTTTAATGAATAAAACCCCATAACTCAGAAATGTAAAATGTAAAATTTATAAAATTCTAAACGGAGCTTACATCAATAGATATAAACAATTCACCAAAGTTTCATAAGAACTGCTGAAAGCATTTTTGATTTTTTGTCTGAAAACTGGAAAATCCCCCTTTTTTTATGAATAAAACCCTGCAACTCTGAAACGTAAAATCTAAAATATATAAAAATCGAAAGGGAGCTCATGTCAATAGATATCAACAATTCACCCCAATTTCTTGCAAGTTGGTGAAAGCATTCTTGAGTAATTGTCCGAAAACTGGAAATTCCCCCTTTTTTTAATGAATAAAACCCTGTAACTCAGAAAAGTAAAGTCTAAAATTTATAAAAAACGAAAGGAAGCTCACGTCAATAGATATAAACAATTCACCAAAGTTTTATGCAAATTGGTTAAAGCATTTTTGAGTTAATGTCCGACATGTTGACGACGGACGGACAGAAGGACAGACGGATGGACGGACGGACGGACGGACGGACGGACAGACGGACAACGGTATACCATAATACGTCCCGTAAACGGGCGTATAAAAAGTGTCTTTTTATATTGAATAAGGGATAGAATGAGGATCAGTATATATAAGACGATTTCAATAAAAAAGTGTCTTTTTATATTGAATACGGGATAGAATGAGGATCAGTATATATAAGACGATTTCAATAAAAAAGTGTCTTTTTATATTGAATATGGGATAGAATGAGGATCAGTATATATAAGATGATTTCAATAAAAAAGTGTCTTTTTATGTAAGAAATGTATCTTATTACGGGATAGAAAAGAATCATTAGTTACAATGTAATCTATATAAAAGTTGATGAAAGGGTTTTCTTTGGGGTGATGCTATAAAAAAAAAGGGGTAAAGATATTTTTGGGGGAAAAGAAATATGAAAAAATCAATTTGTGATGCCAAATACGGGATAAGTTTAAACTATCCCGTAATTTGCCAAATACGTTTAAACTATTAACTAATTGATATCGTTTATTTCGTTAAATATGCAGGTAAGTGTAAATATTGCGTTTGTTCCTTAGGTAATAGAATAAAGGTCATTACATATTTTGTTAGTAAGAAGTAAATACAGTTAATAAAAATTTGTGTTTTGAATAAACCAAATTAGCTATTGGCGTTTGTTGAGTTGTGGTCAGCATGTAAGTATTAGAAATTTGACTATTTAGAAATGGCGACTGCAAAGGGAAGACTTAGGAAAAAACACGGAGAAGGGAGTTTTGCATTAAGGAAATCAAATGTTGATGATATTTCGTTTCAAGATTTTGGTAACTTGTGGAGTTTTAGTTCTTTGTTTATGTCAGATGACAAAACACTGTTTAACTGGCTTCAAGTTAATGGTTTATTACCTTCTTAATTAATTTGTCATTGTGGTGCAAACTGTACATTGAACCGCCGATCAAGCACAACAGATGGCTTCACATTTGGATGCAAAAAGGGGCATGAACTAGGTATGAGAAAGAACTCGTTCTTTGAAAGGTCTTCATATAATATTATAGATCTGATCGTTTTTATAAAGTTTTACATAGAAGGGCATAGTCTACACATGTCGGCTAAATGTGCTAACATGGAATATACATCCACATCTGTTCATTGGGCTAGCTACATCAGAGAGATGTTTTGTGAATATATTTAATTTACACAGAGTATGAAATGATAAGATTTCAAGGTGATGTAGAGCTGGACGAGAGCCTGTTTGGGAGAAAAATCAAATACAATAGAGGTAAGCCTACAGGGAATCGTATATGGATTTTTGGCATGATAGAGAGAAGTTCAAACAAAATAGTGATGTATCCAGTAGACAGTAGAAGTGCTGATGTTCTGATTCCGTTAATTAAGAAGCATGTTGAACTGGGAAGCAGGATATTTTCTGATAGCTGGGGGGCATATTCTGGTCTTAATAGATTGGGATATGAACATTTCACCGTCATCATGGTCATACACAAAACCCCATTCAAGCAGCTGTATATCAACACTGAAACTAACGAAGAGGTACAGTGTTGTACAAACAGAATAGAAGGTGCGTGGAAAATCACAAAAGACCATTTCCGAAGAATTAATGGCACCAACTCCAACCTGTTTGAGCAACATCTGTGTGAAATAGTGTGGAGAAATCATGTCCACAGAGCTGGCAATATCTATTCTTCCTTCTTTGATCTAATGAAAAATGTATACACTTTGGAGATGCCACCTCGATTTATGTACACAAAACCACTTTTTAGAATTTGGACTCCACCGTCTAAAGCAGATGAGGCGAGACACAACATCACAATAGTTCAAGGGAGTGATGCTGAGTCTGACGGATAAGAGGCGTCAACAGTGGAGACATCAGAACCTACAGGCTCTTCCTTGCCTGCGAGTAGTGAGAATAGTGAGCATGTCCAAGGGCCAAGCAAAGCCTGTTCTAGTGGAAGAAATGTTACATGCACTAAAAAAACGTCCAAACCTATATTGGATTTAACTGAGTACTCCACTGATGAGGATGATATCCAAAAACTTTTCTTCCCTCCAACATTCAAACCATTGAAAAAAAAAGACAAACAGAAAGACAAACCCAATGCAAAGAGTGGGAAAGGTTATCTGAGTTCTGTTAATAAATAGGTAGCGCATCAGGTAAGTTAATTACTTTCAAAATGCCTGTGACACGAAATAGACGTATATATCTTCTATGGAATGAAATCCAAGATCTTATAGGTGATGCAAGGCTTTGGCCTTACAGAATAAGGGGATTATTTTGGACCCGTAATTTGCATCATTGGGACCGTATTTTAATAGCCATATTTTGTTATATTAATTCATTGCATGTGGATATCCTCATGGAGTGGTGTCAGTTAATGGGACTTCTGAGGGACAGGGCTGCTAGGAACCACATATTAGCCCTGTACAGACTGTTTCCACATGTACATTACAGACTCTATGGTTGGAACACAACATCTCGTAGATACGAGTACATAAATGGAACTGTCCACCACTATACTCCCCATAGAAAGTAAGATCATTTATTTTGGGTGCATTGTATACCGTATATAACTTTCTTTTCAGCTTGAATATGGATATATTAAGTTGAATTTACATATATACTGTAAATTCAGAAATTATTGCGTGCATTTATTATTGCGATTTTGTCATTTTAGACTAAAATGCGATTCAAATTTTTGCGATATTGAGAAAAATCCTGTTTAATTCATATAAAATATTTCAAAATGCGAGTTTAAATTATTGCGATTATCACCCTGTCGCATTTTTCGCAATAATAAAAACATCGCAATAATTTCTGAATTTACAGTATTTCTTATTTTTCAGATAAAGAAGATAAAGTAAATCAACTGTAAATACGTTTCATGTTCTGTTATTTGTTGTGTTGTTTGTGTTAAACTTTAATTTGTGGTAATGGATTTTTAACAGCGAGAAACAATACTACTAGTGTATATGTAAAAAGATATTTCAATTACCTGACATTTCAAAGATTTTTAGTGAATAGGAGACATCAATAAATATATGAGTCATGTAGTGGTAAGTTAGTATATTGTTATAGATATATCACATGATTTAATTACTAAATAAACTATAGTGGGGGGGGGGGGGGGGGGGGGGGGGGGGGGTAGGAACTTTATCGGGACTCCGGGATTGGGTGTTTTAAGCTCGGGATTTCGGGATTGATCCTTTCGGGATCCGGGAATTCTTTTTTCGAATTTTGGGATGTCAGGATTTAAATTTTTTTAAATTCGGGACCTCGGGATTCCATGTTTTTAAGCCCGGGATTTCGGGATCAGGACCCCTCCTATCCCCCCCCCCCCCCCCTCACTATAGTATAGTACATTTATTTATGATGACACTGATATTATTCTATCCCGTATATACACATGATATATGAAAAAACGATATGTCTTATTTAATCTTGGTCTATAAAGATATGTTTATATATAGTGATCCTCATTCTATCCCGTATAATGCATACAAAAGCAATCAATATGGTATAATTTATATATCGGTTTATTTTGTAATAAAGTTTATTTATAATACTCAAATTACAAAATAAACGATATGTATTATTTATATATTGAATACGGGATAGAATGAGGATCAGTATATATAAGGCAATTTCAATAAAAAAGTGTCTTTTTATATTAAATACGGGATAGAATGAGGATCAGTATATATAGCGATTCCTAATTACGAAATAAATGATATGTATTATTTTAATTTTTGTCTCTAAAGATATGTTTGTATATATACTGATCCTCATTCTATCACGTATTATGCATACAAATTCAATTAGTATGGAACAATCTATATTTTGGTTTATTTCGTAATAAAATTTATTACTGTAATGACGAAATAAAAAAATAAACAATATTAGTGATTTGACCTTAAATAGTACATAATGAAGTTTATTTCGTTATATAATGTAAGAAATACAGGTAAATATGGGCAGTGTAATCTTTCCTTAATTCATAATTTCACGCTACACGATATACAACATTAAACATATATCCCGTAAATGGAAATGACAGGATAGAATAAGGATATATTCCTTTTCATCCTAGCCCCCCCCCCCCCCCCCCCCCCCACATAAAAAAATCAAATGGTAGCTCCCTTAATATTGAACGAATCTTTTATTTGGCTTTCTAATTTAAAAATAAATACATTTCGATGTCAGACTTACATGTATGGTATGTCGAACTATTTGGTTTCGGACTATTGGGGTGTCGGACTAATGGGGTGTCGGACTATTGGGTGTCGGACTACTGGAGTGTCGGAATATCGGGGCTGCCCCCCCCCCCCCTAATTTTATCTCTGACGGATATATTGTACATGCACCTGTACGCTGTAAAACACAAAAATATAAAAACCACATGCAACTTCCTGTTTTCGTTTGACTCGGAACTTTTCCATACATCAAACAGCAATTTGGAAATGTCTCGAGACAAAGTCAACTATTGAAAATTATGTCAGATTTAGAAGTTGATAGTACTTCAAAATCATTGGTAGCTTCTTGGTTTGGGGTAAACACTTTTACCGAAACTACGGAGAACGATTTAGAAGAAAAGTATGCTACTGTACATTAATCAATTGTTCCAAAATGAACCTAAATCGATCCTTTGATTATAAACTTATTTCAATATTTGAATTCAAAAAGGCTATCAAATTATTTAACACTTTATAAAGATCTTTGAAAATTGTTTTTGTCGGTGTTAAGATTGATTAAGTTATCAATAAATTAAAACAACTTAGTTAGGTAATTCTATGAGGCAGGTCATGCAGGTGTTCTGTGAAAGAGGACAACAATAAACTCTGTTCGCTATATATATCTATAGGAAAGTAACGTCACAGTACCCAAATGCACCGAATCCAGGTCCGTTAGCCCAAAATCAAGTTCGCTCCCATTTACATTGGCTCTCATTCACGTTCTTCCCCTTTCACATTCGCACCCTTTTGATTGGTTTTGTTTTGAATAATTTTTTAATCGAGTTTTAGTTAGTCACCCAGGGTTTGCTCTAAATAAGTTTTTTTTCATTGTTTCAAAATAAAGTGCCATTCTATAAACAACAAAGAATAACACAAAAAAACGGGCCACAAATCACATGTTTTTTAGGTGTTCATGGTGTTGTATATCAGCTATAAGTACTTACAGAGCTTTTATTTCCAAGTGTACGGAAGATTTAAGTTACCTATATATATGTAGGTATAAGAAGATGTGGTATGAGTGCCAATGAGACAACTCTCCATCCAAGTCACAATTTGTAAAAGTAAACCATTATAGGTGAAAGTACGGCCTTCAACACGGAGCCAGGTTGGCTCACACCGAACAGCAAGCTACAATGTATAAAGGGCCCCAAAAATGACAAGTGTAAAACCAATCAAACAGGAAAACCAATGGTCTAATCTATATAAAAAATTCGTAAGGGTTCCGTGGAACCCAGTGTCTCGCCTACTTTTGGTGTTAATTGCAGGGCAGGCTCAACAAAAATGAGGAAAAAAATTAATAAAAATATTCCTCTCTATACTATCTTTTGATTGTAAGTAGCTTCTGTCCAAGTTTGGTAAAAATCCAGGATAATTTATGAATCTAATAAATGTTTTAAAAACTTAAACTGCAGAATGTATGTAATATTGACTGGAAGAAAAACTAAGTCCATTTATAAGTAAAATACGGAAAAAATGGAACAAAAATTTATCAAAATTTCCTTCTAGATACTAGCTTTTGATCATAAACAAGCTTCTGTCCAAGTGTGGTACAAATCCAGGATAGTTTAAGAAAGTTGTTAAAATTTTAAAAACTTTAACCACAGAGTGAATGTAATGTTAACTGGCAGAAAAACTAAGTCCATTTATAAGTAAAATACGGAAAAAATGGAATTTTTTTTTTACAAAATTTACTTCTGGATACTATCTTATGATCATAAACAAGCTTCTTTCCAAGTTTGGTACAAATCCAGGATAGTTTAAGAAAGTTATTAAAATTTCAAAAACTTTAACCACAGAGTGAATGTAATGTTTCCTGGCAGAAAAACTAAGTCCAATTATAAGTAAAATACGGAAAAATGGAATTTTTTTTTTACAAAATTTACTTTTGAATATAATCTTATGATCACAAACAAGCTTCTGTCCAAGTTTGGTAGAAATCCAGGATAGTTTAAGAAAGTTATTAAAATTTCAAAAACTTTAACCACAGAGTGAATGTAATGTTTCCTGGCAGAAAAACTAAGTCCAATTATAAGTAAAATACGGAAAAAATGGAATTTTTTTTTTACAAAATTTACTTTTGAATATAATCTTATGATCACAAACCAGCTTCTGTCCAAGTTTGGTAGAAATCCAGGATAGTTTAAGAAAGTTATTAAAATTTCAAAAACTTTAACCACAGAGTGAATATTTGTGGACGCCGCCGCCGACGACGACGACGACGACGCCGACGGAATGTAGGATCGCTATGTCTCGCTTTTTCGACAAAAGTCGAAGGCTCGACAAAAACGAGAAACGAAAAACACTTATGAACCACATCAACAAACGACAACCACTGAACATCAGGTTCCTGATTTAGGACAGGTGCAAACAAATGCAGCGGGTTTAAACGTTTTAATAAGCACCTGCCTTCACCCTACCTGAAACAATATTGGAAGATCACAACATAGAAAGACACACTATAAAATATCAATTGAAATGGCTTAACTCAAAAGAAATATTAACAAAAACAAGTGAACATACCAATTGTATACATTGAACGAATAAATTTGATCTATGACACAACGTAAATACTTATACAAAATTGATAAAACAATGGGGTTAGACATGATATTTTTTTGGGGGGGAGGGGGGTCAATTCGCATAGTGTATTGCACAAAAGCAAAAAATTGAATATAAATTCAAATCATATAACCAATTTGAAGTTCTTTGACTACAGTTATTCTGTGTTAGAAACCTATTAAGTGTCAAATATTTAATTACAATCCAAATTCAGACCTGTATCAAGCATGAATATTGTGTCCATTTTGGCCCCAACTTTTCAGGGTTGGACATCTGCGGTCGTATACAGCTGCGCTCAGCGAAGCAATTTATTATTCATTATGATACCATACATTCCAACAATAATTCAAAACAATTAATATTTATTCATCAAATCATTAAAAAAAATATTTCATTTGAAAATTCCTGATTTTTTATTCATGAAAATATAAACTATTTCAAACTATTTTCATATATATACATCTAAAAAACATCTGATAATTCAACCGGTATTTGAATAAAAATAGGGTGCGAACGTGTAGGGTGCGAACGGACCTGATACCAAATGGACCCATTTAGAAAAAATAGCAACGGAAGTCTTACAAGTTTTCTTATAGAATTAACAATTGTATCATGTGTATTTTTATTATTTGACATTATGCACGTCTTTCAAGAGAGGCAAAAAATACCAAAGACATTCAAACTCATAGGTCAAAAATAAACTGACAATGCAATGGCTAAAAAAGAAAAAGACCAACAGACAAACAAAAGTACAAAAAACACAACATAGAAAACTAAAGACTGAGCAACACGAACCCCACCAAAAACATGGGGTGATCTCAGGTGGTCAGGAAGGGTGGCACCTGTCATGTTGCTCATGTTATTACAAACCTGTTAATAAGTCTAATTTGGTAGGTCACAGTCGGGGAAAAAGCTTAATATATTTAAATATACACAAAATGTTCACAGTAATTTATATGAACATGATGAACAGATGAAGTATTTACTTCAAAAAGTCAAATCTATGGAAACGTCACCATCATGACCATGGGAAGTCCACAAAAAGTTAACTTGTAAAAATACACAAAATATGTTACAGGCATCCATTTCTTAAAAAATGAATACTGGTAGTAAGCATGGACTATTGTCAAATTGTTCTAAATATTTGAAGAAATCAAACAAAACATCAGTTATTCGGTTTTTATGGACATGAATACATGTATAAGCATGGATGCAATTTTGGTACTCCCTCATTACAGAATCATGGATCGTTTGGAGGTCGGTTCAAACACATTTTTCTATGATTCAATATGGATTCAAAATTAAATTGGAGGGACTATATAGTAAATAAGGATACATCTACAAAATAAACACAAAATGGAAACTTTTGTCATTGATCATAAATAAACGTAGGTGAAAAAACTGTCAAAATAGCTGCAATTTGGGTACCCTCACATTATACATGACAATTGTCCCAAAGACAACTCAGAGCAACACAAAGGTCCCTGTAAAGTGAGAACAGAAATAAAACAAAGTGAAATGAGACTAAACAAAACACGGCAAAACGAAACAAAATCTAATGGAGCATAATGGAATATGTAGTCCCATCAATTTGTAATCGTTCATGTATAAAACACTTTAGTATCCCTAATGAAAGCTTAAACCTGTAATGGTATATATGGACTCTTTGCAGCCACATCTAAATGCTTTGTTTGGCTGCAGTGTTTGTAGAGTTGCTGCCTCATTGAAGTTAACTCTATATGTCTCAAATACAGAAAAATCTGATAGGCGACCTTGGGGGTTTGGTGGGCCAACTTGCAACCTGATCTCATTTAAAAATACCTGTGACTTTAAAAATGTTTAAAACCGAGAATCAGATATTTTTAGAAATGTATAAATGCTTAAAGTGTGGCAATTTCTAAAAGTGATCATGTGATCTAAAGGTGTAACCAACAGGAGGCCTCTTTTTCTCCTTTGATTCATACCATATTATATATACATTTTTGGGGCCACACTTTTGACTCTGCAGTTCTGCTTTCTTTTTAAACTAACCTTAGACAAATGCAAATACAAAAAGCTTATTACTGATATTTGGCAAACCAGAAAACATAATAACGCACTACCGTAGGTGTGGCATATAGCTTAGTCTAAATAAGGAAAGAATGGCCATTTCTTTTTGGAAATGATATTCAGCATGTTCAGACGACTCACAGTTTCCTCTATTCTAATTTCCATTTTCTTCAATTTTACACCTGAAAAAAAGCCTTAACATTTGAACAATGTAAAAATTCCATGCAAGCACTTAGCACAAAAATAAAAGGAAATGTGGTATTATTGCCTATGAGACAACTACATTTTTTTTTATCATGACTATACACCAGCATGACCAGAGGGCTTCGGCAATGAGAAAAACCCATACCGTATAGTCAGGTATAAATGGCTCTGACATGAAAAATGTGAAACACTTTAAATGAAATAACTAGCGGTTTAATTTATATAACAATACAATTTACGAAAAATAAATATGAACCAACAACAACCACTGAATTACAGGTTCCTGACATGGGACAGGCACATAAAGAATGTGAGTCGGGGTATAACATGCTTGTGAGCATGCAACCCTCCCCTAACCTGGGACAGTGGGTGTCAGGTTTAGTAAACGTAGTAGCCTTGAATTATCAACAGACACCCTGTATCTACCAGAAACAAGATTGAATTGTAATAACTAAAAGATGAATAGTATATCATGTTTGAGTTAGAATCACCCTTTAAAATTAGAGAAAGAAGAATTACGGACATTCTCAGATCTGTACTTGGAATCTT